AGTCAAACAACGGTATCTCGGACTGTGGATAGAGTTGTGAACAGCATAGTTGCACAGTCGAACGAATGGATCAAGTTTCCAACTACCAACCATGAACTGATGGAGGCCAAGCGGATATGGCGAAGCATGTATAAATTTCCGACAGCAATTGGTGTAATTGATTGTACACATATAAGAATCCTGACACCAAATCGCCATGGAGATGAGTATATCAACCGAAAAGGGAAACCTACTTTAAATGTGCAAACCACTTGTGATACCAGAGAGATATGTTCACAAGTGTTGATGTCAGTTGGCCTGGATCAGTGCATGATTCCAGAATATGGAGGCATTCACAGACTAGATCACAACTAATAAATAAAGCAAATGTTGTATTACTTAGCGATGACGGTTATGGTATTGAGCCATGCCTTATGACTTCCTTCGGAAATCCTACTCCAGGTGCAGAAATAAATTATAATAAGCTTTTAAAACAAGAAAGAGTTATAATTGAACGCTGTTTTGGCCAACTGATATATATAGTCTATATATATATATATATATATATATATATATATATATATATATATATATATATTATAACTTGAGACGTGGTCATTGTCGTCTAGACCAGTTAGGTGAAAAATTAAAGCTTCCGCCTTTTGTTGGGTACCTCGACAAAATTTAAGCAAAGAGGACTCTTTATACTTTTTTAATTCTCTCTAGCTTTCAATGGACTTTGCCATCATCATCAGGAGCTGCAATTACAATGATAACAGTAGCAACAAAAGTGTAAAATGAATTTAAATTGACTCAACTTACAGTAGTATGTGAGGATGTTGCTAATTGTTGTTTACGTATAGGATGAGGGAAACGTCCAGTAACATGGTGAGAGCTGGATAGATGGTACAATGGTCAAAATTATATAAAATATGACAAGAACAAGTTAAAAACAGATTAACAATTATTTAAAAAACATTAGAGCATTACATCGTGAAGCCACTTGATGATTGCACAAAATGGTGGTCATGGAATAATGAGTGAGATGAAACCCTTTGACAGAAGGCCGAAGGTTGTCAATGTCTGTGTTGAAAGATGGAACGAATTGTGCCAAACGTTGCCAAATCACTTCAGATGATGTGATTTTCAGAATGTTATGTAAGAAATTGTTAAGCCGACCAGAGGCAGTTGAATAAACTATATTTTAATTAATGGGAATTTAAATTAACAATTATTAATAAATCGTGAGAAGAGAATTATTATATTTTGAGTGGAATGAAACTTACTGGTGGAATCGACCAAAACACAGATTCTATTTATGGTTGTGAAGAGTCGAAATTTGGAGAGATATGTAAGTTCTTCAATTTTTCGCAGTTTAGCAAATATGAGTAAATGAACTCAGTTGTTTAACATCTGTCTTTTTGTTGATACAGTTGTTATTCATGAAAATGTGGGACATTTCCAGGAATAAACGTTTGAAAAGGTGTTTTTCTTTATCAAGAACTTTGATACTTGTGTAATTCATAGAATGCCCTGTTGTGTTAACATGAGATGCTAGAGCGCATCTTTCAGGATGAAGCCTAGCATAACTTTGTCCTGCCCTATATCAAGGAACTGACCCTTAAGCTGATCAGATTGTGCAGTCCTTTGAACTTTCGAATTGCTTGCAAATCCGTCCTCACTATAAACTGCATTTTTTCAAAAATGAAAGACAAAGTCCCGCTGCTTGGCTTAACCAACACAGTCTACTCCATCAATTGCAACAACTGCAACCAAATATACATAGGTCAGACCTCCAGATCACTTAAAGGAAGGATTACATCACATAAAAGTGATGCTAGGCTTCATCCTGAAAGATGCGCTCTAGCATCTCATGTTAACACAACAGGGCATTCTATGAATTACACAAGTATCAAAGTTCTTGATAAAGAAAAACACCTTTCCAAACGTTTATTCCTGGAAATGTCCCACATTTTCATGAATAACAACTGTATCAACAAAAAGACAGATGTTAAACAACTGAGTGTCATTTACTCATATTTGCTAAACTGCGAAAAATTGGAGAACTTACATATCTCCCCAAATTTCGACTCTTCACAACCATAAATAGAATCTGTGTTTTGGCCGATTCCACCAGTAAATTTCATTCCACTCAAAATATAATAATTCTCTTCTCACGATTTATTAATAATTGTTAATTTAAATTCCCATTAATTAAAATATAGTTTATTCAACTGCCTCTGGTCGGTTTAACAATTTCTTACATAACATTCTGAAAATCACATCATCTAAAGTGATTTGGCAACGTTTGGCACACGCCAACAATTCGTTCCATCTTTCAACACAGACATTGACAACCTTCGGTCTTCTGTCAAACGGTTTCATCTCACTCATTATTCCATGACCACCATTTTGTGCAATCATCAAGTGGCTTCACGATGTAATGCTCTAATGTTTTTTAAATAATTTTTAATCTGTTTTTAACTTGTTCTTGTCATATTTTATATAATTTTGACCATTGTACCATCTATCCAGCTCTCACCATGTTACTGGACGTTTCCCTCATCCTATACGTAAACAACAATTAGCAACATCCTCACATACTACTGTAAGTTGAGTCAATTTAAATTCATTTTACACTTTTGTTGCTACTGTTATCATTGTAATTGCAGCTCCTGATGATGATGGCAAAGTCCATTGAAAGCTAGAGAGAATTAAAAAAGTATAGAGTCCTCTTTGCTTAAATTTTGTCGAAGTACCCAACAAAAGGCGGAAGCTTTAATTTTTTATATATATATATATATATATATATATAGTTTCCTCATCATTTGATGATGTCATGCTTAATTTGATAAAAAACTGTATCCAGTAGAAATACGGAACGGTCTGTGTAAGCTCTGGAGTACAACTGTCAGTGATGCTGAGTGAACGAACTCCCACGTCAACTACAAGCCGGAACAAGTCAGGACACGTCGCTCAAGATACAAATACCAGTCAACCTTTTACTTCTTCTTGGAGGATATCCTCGCGAGTCCACTATGCATATGAAAACAAGGATATGCTTATACTTCTACCTTTTTCTCCGAAGCAAGACCTTATACTTTTACCTTATGCTTCCGAGGATATGCTTCTCTTTTATGAATACGGCTCAAGATGTCATCAATAGAATGACTCAGTCCCCACAGCATGAGAAGCTAGAACCATTTTAAATACGCAAACATTGCATTTATGGATTATTGCTGGACCAAATTCTCGGGAACAACTTTTTTTTGGTTCAAGTTCTGACATATGTAACAAGTTTGCAAGTTTTAAGCTAAGAGCAGATTTAAGAATCCGAGGAGGGGTGATGCGGTTGTAACAAGATTCATGTTTGTTTATCGGCATACTTTAGGCTGTTCAATGCCAAAAATTATTTAACTAGCTTAGCTAAGAAATTTGTTGAATATAAGGGGTTATTAGTAACTCGGCACATTCCTTGCAGAACAACATAGGGAAACTAAAATTCAATAAATATCAGTAGTTTTCTAGATTTTTCAATTTCATCAAAAATTGGACATTTGAGACTATACAATAACAACTCAAGATACTAATACTGTATAAATTAAGACTTAAGACTTCTTCCCTCCGGTTCTCGCGTCGCCCGCGTGGCTTCATCGCGCATCTTTAGGTATGCCTACATCTCGGCTAAAGTACTCCTAATTCCTTGTTTTGTGTAAAACTTATAATGGGTGATTTTTTTGCCAGTATCTTTTTGGCAACACTGTTTTTGACAGATGACGCGTGAATCGTGTCTTGTGTCATTGTCAAACTTGTTCAGTTTGGTCTATAATTTAACCATGAATCGACTTACGAACGAACAACGCTTGCAAATTATTGAATTTTACTATCAAAATTCATGCTCGGTTAAGAGAGTGCGTCGAGCACTGCTTCCAATTTATGGGCAATTTGGTCGGCCTACTGAGGAAGCTATTCGGAAGCTTGTGACTAAATTTCGAACCCAGTTTACATTATTGGACATTAAACCACCAACACGCAGACGTAGAGTGAGGACTGAAGAAAATATTCCGGCTGTATCCGCCAGTGTTAGTGATGACCGTGAAATGTCGATTCGCCGCCGTTCGCAGCAATTGGGCCTCTGTTACTCCACTACGTGGAAAATTTTGCGACAGGATTTGGGTGTAAAATCTTATAAGATACAGCTGGTGCAAGAATTGAAGCCACACGACCTCCCACAACGTTTCCGATTTGGTGAATGGGCGCTGGCAAAGTTGGAGGAAGATCCACATTTTTATCGAAAAATTGTGCTCATTTCTGGTTGAATGGGTACGTTAACAAGCAAAATTGCCGCATGTGGAGTGAAGACCAGCCAGAAGCATTGCAAGAGCTACCAATGCATCCCGAAAAAATCACTGTTTGGTGTGGATCATCGGGCCGTACTTCTTCAAAGACGACAATCTCCGGCACGTAACTGTGAATGGCGAGCGCTACCGTGCGATGATAACAAACTTTTTTTTGCCCAAAATGGAAGAGCTGGACTTGGCTGACATGTGGTTTCAATGAGACGGTGCCACATGCCACACCGCACACGAAACAATGGTCCTATTGAGAGGCGAGTTCGGTGAACAGTTTATCTCACATTTGGGGCCCGTCAATTGGCCGCCTAGATCGTGTGATTTAACGCCGTTGGACTATTTCTTGTGGGGCCATGTTAAGGCTAATGTCTACAGGGATAAACCAGCAACGATTGACGCACTGGAAGCCAATGTTGAAGCATTTATTCGTGAGATATGTTGGAGAGAGTGTGCCAAAGTTGGACCTTGCGCATGGGCCATCTAAAGCGGAGCCGCGGCCAACATTTACATGAAATAATCTTTAAACATTAAATTATATCGACCGTTCTATCGACTCAAATAAAGATTTAATCGTTTTTTCAAATTTTTTGTGTTTTTTTTTTTTGAAAATCAAATCCTATACCTCTTAAAAAATCACCCGTTATAACAATTATTTTTTCCAATTTGCAGGAGACGGGTTCGATCCGACCTGGAGTTATCGGTGGATCGAAGCCCCGCGTCGCGACCCCTGAAGTGGAGAGTCGCATAGAACAGTACAAAAGGGAAAATCCGTCAATTTTCAGTTGGGAGATTAGGGACCGATTGGTGAAGGAAGGCATCTGTGACAGGAGTACAGCCCCTAGCGTATCCGCTATCTCGAGGTTGCTTAGAGGCAAAGGTGGCGACTGTGACGGAGACGGTAAGTAGAATCTTGGATTTTTTTCATGTCCCTTATTCTAAGGTGTCAGACATCAATCGTTATTTCGCGTGTGTTTCGAAAAAGTACACTGTACATCCAAGTGGTGATTCTTTGAACTTTCTAACAAACATACAATTTTGTTATTTGACGATTGCCGAGATACTACTTCATGTAGAAGTATGCAATTTATTTTAAAATCCCATTTCAAATAAAAGCAGGAAATAAACAACTATTTTTCAATAAATCTAGTATACGAAACAAATGACTATCTGATCATTTCAAATCACACCTAGCAAATTCTATTTTTTTTAAATAACTTATGCTTGGCCATATTTATGTATAACTTAATGTATTTTTGGAATCATAATTAGCAAACTTTATTCATCTGCGCAAAGATTTCATATGGCATCCATAAGAAAAAATGATGTTGTTGCTAGAGGACAAGAGACGAAACGTCATATTGAAATTCTAATTATACCATCTTATAGAAGGGAAAAAGTGGCATTGTTAAAGCACAGTTTATCATAAAATCGCTCCACAAATAAAGCCAGGAAAAAATCAAAACGACTTCGGGTAAATTCGCTTTTTGTCGTCTATCTCCGGAAGTACTTCGAGTGTCAAAATTTCCTAAACGGTATCTTGAGAGTTACTCAAATACGCAACTAAGTTGCATTTTTCATAATTTAGCTCATCTCAGAAAAAAACTCACAGCCCTAAACCTAATAGTGTTGTTGTAATTGCGATTGAAAGTTCATTATACCGTTGTTTTTTTTTTCGAAATGTCACAAAATTGCAAATATTTCCTGAACTATAAAATTTCGGACGACACATATATGGGTTCATTCGATAGGTTTTGAGGCCCTCTATCTAACTTTACACCCTGTATAATTGTCACTTGGAAGCTCCTTTAAATGACTATGAGGAAAATAAATTTCAACCCTTTAGGTATAATGTTTGGACACGCCGCATGAGTCTGGAAACGATGCGTATAATATAACCGTGGAGAATCGCATACGCCCATTTTAGGCCTTCTGTGGATATTACATGAAAAGGTGCGTGTTTTTTGTAATTTATAATAATATCGTTATTAAGGAACAGATAATTAATCAAACACGGTTGGTGACCACCAGATGCTGTTTGTCGGAAACGCGCTACTGATATCACAATTTGTCATAGTAGATAATAGGAGCAGCAGTTCATCATAAAGTAACAATAAGCCATTGTAACTAATCTTAAAAAGTTCTCTCATTTTAGTTCACAGTAAAACAGACTATCCTGACTACAAACCTACTCAAATCATCCTTAACATTGTCCAACTTTAATGAAAAGCCAAAGAACGGAACTGTATCTGCTGAAAATTACTATTTCGGTATATACTAAGTGACATATAAATCCGAACACCCAGTTTAAATGGTTTTATTTTAATAAAAGTGGGTGAATGTATTTACCTTACTGTAAATAACAAGTGAAAAAATTTTCAGCCTTATCGGTTGGACATTCCGGTTTTTATACTGCTTTTTTTTAATTCACTAACGCTCGAAAAATGAATATTTCAGCCGCAGTAAAGAATCAACGTTGGCGGATTTTGGTTCTTGACATCCTTTACGATCGGTTACGATGCCTAGAGTACGGAGACCTGTATGATTTCGTCAACTTAGTGAGTTTGATAGGGGCCGTATAGTGGGACTTCGGGAAGCTGGACTTTCTTTTTGGGCAATTGCAGTTAGAGTGCAAAGAAGTGTAGACACTGTGGTTAGGTGCTGTCAGGCATGGCTTCGAGAAGGCCGTACGCAAAGAGCAAGGGGCACTGGACGCCGTCGTAGAACAGACCGTGAAGATCGCCGCCTAAGATTATTGGCCTTAAGGGACCGTTTCTCCACTACCAGGTCCATTGCAAATGAATGGTTTGCAGAACACGGAAGACCTATTGGCATGCGAAGTGTTTACCGACGAATGAGAAGTTTTGGCTTGTTTTCATACCGGCCACACTGGGTCCTCCCTTTAACTCGAGAACACCAACGTAATCGCCTTGAGTGGTGCAGACAACGGTCACTCTGGGATCAGGAATGGAACAGTATTGTCTTTAGTGACGAGTCTCGATTTTGTTTAGGCATGCACGATGGTCGTGCCAGGGTTAGAAGGCGACGTGGTGAAAGGAGGAATCCACAGTTTTTTATTGAAAGACATGTTCATCTCACTGTTGGAGTTATGGTTTGGGGTGCTATAGCTTATGGTTCCAGGTCACCTTTAATCTTCATCAGAGGTAACATGAACGCGCAGCGCTATATCCACGAAGTTCTAGAATCCCATCTTTTACCCTATCTTGACACCCTGGCAGATCCAACTTTCCAACAAGATAATGCCCGACCACATGTTGCAAGAGTCACAATAGACTTCTTTCAACATAATGATGTCACATTGTTACCATGGCCACCAAGATCTCCCGACTTATCCCCAATTGAGCACGTGTGGGTTATGATGGGTAGGAGATTGCTCAATTTGCAACGTCCTCCTCAGACTCTAGAAGCACTTCCAGAGAAGTTGGTGGTTGCCTGGAATGAGATACCACAGGAGGACATTGACCACCTGATCAGAAGCATGCCTAGGCGCGTTGGAGAATGCGTAGCACATCAGGGTGCATCCACACATTATTAAAGGTCAAAGGGCTTTAAAGCAGTGCAATTATTTTGAAATTTTTATCATTTACTTATTATGCTTGTACAAAATTTTATTAAAATAAAACAATTTAAACTGGGTGTTCGGATTTATATGTCACTTAGTATATAATGCTTTTTGAATTCTATAGTTACAACGTTTAATGTGCATAACGAAAAATCATGTTCACTCATTCCTGTCGATCTATCGTCGTCTATCTGGTAATCCTTTTTTTTTCGAGAATCAATCCAGTGCCGCAGAAGTATTAGTCAAAAAATTAAAAATTATTTACTGCTCTACAATTCGGAAAATACCACATGGGCTTAGATGAAATTTTGATATTACTAGTCGGTGAAGTAGGGGACTCTCAAACTTTGTTTTTTTTTTGTTTGTTTTTGTATGGGTTGAAAATTGTGGTTGGGGGTTGTAGGTGGAAGGGGGCTGTAAGGGTTACGTCTTTAGTATCAAAGACGATCTATCATTAAAAAGCTTCTGATCCCGATACCAACGGGAAAGTTAAATGGTATAAGCCCGATCTATAACGTGTTCATAATTCGAAATAGTTTGCATTTGTTGGCATTGTGTGCTGTATCGTCGCCGAGTCCACTGCCGACTGTGTCAAGCGTAATAGGTAACTAACTCCAACTTGAGTACTGCGGCGATGTCGTTACTGACACACCGCTATACCGCTACAGGGAAATATTTATGTATTTAAGGAATATCTGCATATTATGAGTACGTATACTTTATCTGAAGTCACTTGAAACACTGTGAAATACCGGGTGCGTTTTATATATCTATATTTAACACGCTCTGTTGCTGCAAAAATCGCCAAATTTCGCAGCAAATATAAGATCAAAGGCAGTTTCACCGGTCCACGTGGAGTAAAGCACGCCTATGCGTGGACATAGCCAATGAGAAAGCGTGTATTTCAGAGCTCCGAACAAGTGCAGGTGGCTACTGAAAATTGAAACAGTTTAGCCAGTGCCGTGTAGCGGTGAATAAACGTGTTTTCTTTAGTCTGTCCGTGTTTTTTCATAGATTTTATTAGTTTGTGTTTTTGACTTTTGAATACTCAGTTTACTTGTTGATTTAATTGTTGTGTTGATTGTTCTTGTGTGTCCTAAATATGGCTCTTTGGAGACCTTGGGAAAATGCTCCAAGCCACGAGGAGATGGTTGATGAACCTGTGCAGGCAGAATTCTTGCATAAAGATTTAGAGGAACAGACCCAAAGAGTAATCCTAAATATGTATGATTGTCTGAAAAACGAAAATCCAGATTCCTCGCAAAATCAAATTTTAAACAGAATTTGTATCCTGACAAAAATCAGGCGGTCTACCATTTATCGGGTTATAAAAAGGGGAGATGTAGTCAACCATTCCTTCCACAGAAAGCGCATAGGGCAAAAATTAAAAAGAATAGACGTGGGTTTTCAGGAAGATATTCGTCGTATAATATACGGATTTTATAAAGAAAATTTGGTGCCCACGTTGGAAATGATACGGGGTAAATTAAAAAATTATCCTGAAGATTTTTATAATTACAAATGCTTAGACTCACTGCACTGTATTGTAAAACTGTGTGGTTTTCAATACAAAAAATTAGATAAAAGAATGGTGATTATGGAGTCGTCTCGAATCGTTGAATTGCGCCAAGAATTTTTGCACAAAGTTAAAATCTATAGAGAGCAGAAAAGAAATCTGATTTACCTGGATGAAACGTGGTATGATACCCATGAGGTTGTGCAGTACGGCTGGGTTGACGACAGCAACAAGTGCATTTTAAATGCACCATGCAACCGTGGAAAACGAATCATTATTCTCCATGCTGGCATTGAAAATGGATTTATACCTAATGCCTTGCTGTTATCTGCCAAAAATATCAAAGAATCATGTGCCGACTATCATGAGGACATGACCTCCGATTTATTTGAAAAGTGGATAGAGCAGCAGTTAATACCAAACTTTTCCCCAAATTCAGTGATTATTATGGACAATGCGCCATACCATTCCCGACAGAAAAACAAAATTCCGAATACAGGCACAAAAAAACAAGACATTATTGATTTTATGAAGGATAAGGGAATGGAAATACCACAAAAATCAACCAAAGCCATATTATTGGATCTTATTAAAAGACAAAAATTTGAAAAAGAGTATGTTGTTGACAATGGCCATGAAGTATTACGTCTACCTCCCTATTACTGCATTTTTAACCCGATTGAGTTGGTCTGGGCTGCTTTAAAAAAAAGTAAGAAAACATAATCAGACCCCTCAATTAAGTGAATCGCTATGGGCCACAATAAGAGATGCAGTATCTCATATTGCTGCCACAGACCTATGG